TTTAAATTTTTTTTTTTTTTTTTTTTTTTTTGTAATATAATTTTGAATTGTTTTTATATTTTGTTGTTTATTTTTATAAATTTTTTCAATTTCGTTGTATTTTTTCTACGTTTATATTTTGTTTACTATTATTTGTTTGTTTTTAGTGTATTTGATTTGCGATGATGATTATTTATCGTATAAATTTTTGTATGTTTATATATTTTAAAATTTTGTGTAGGGTCGTCATGGTGGGGGGAAGAATATAGAGCTTCTTAGTAGAAGTTATTCAGTGGAGAGGTCGGGGCATAGACATGTCAGATCCCGTGGTATTTCGGCCTCAGTTCGTAGAGAACGGATCCACCGTCGGGATGAGGATGACGATGACGATGACGATGATGATGCTGAGGAGGGTGACCAGGAGGAGGAGCAGGAGGAGGGCGCAGATGAGGATGAGGATGTGGACGATGGCAGTGGACCGTATGATGATTACGGTCCATTCAGTCAGAGGGTTGATGACATGTACGAGACGCATATGGTGGAGGTGCGTAAGGGTAGGGGTGGTAGGTTTGTTAGTAGATCTGGCACATCATCTGCGTCCACTGTCTCTGGGGCAAGCAGGAAACGGTCGAGGGCGGGTAATGATTCTTGGGTTGTTAGGAGTGAGGTGCCCGGTGGGCCTGTTGACGGGAGTGTGATTCCCAGCTTTCTAGGACACATAGCTGCCCGTATTTGGGAGGACCAGGAGAGGCCTTCAGTTACGGGGTTGTTGAAATGTCATACCCGGGAAAAGACTTGTAGTTTTTTGCGTACATGGGCTGAGGCCTGGCCGGCGGAGAGCGAGATGTTCGAGCGACTGGAGGGCACTGGGGTGAAGCACGTTCCTGCCACCATGCACGATAAGATTGACAGTACGCTGATCACGACTTTCATTGAGCGATGGCAGCCGGATACAAACTCTTTTCACTTTCCGTTCGGTGAGATGACGATCATGTTACATGACGTCGAGGCCATTCTGGGGATTCGTGTTGAGGGTAAACGACTTTGTGCTGTGGCTGATGCGGATCAGGCAGATTCGCTGGCGGAGTTGTTGGCGGTGGACAGGGCTGCACTGTACACCGAGGCGCTAGGTGTTTGGGAACACGGAGGTGTGAAGATCGCATCCGTGTTGCAGCGGTGTTTGTACCCGAGTGCACGTAGGACGCCCGACGCACAGCTGAGTGCTTATGTTTTTCTACTCCTCGGATGTACCTTGTTTCCGGATAAGAGCGGCGGAAACAAGCTCAGGCCACGCGACATCGTAGAGGCGTGTGACCCCGACAGTGTAGGCCTGTTTTCCTGGGGATCGGCTACGTTGGCGTATTTGTATCGCCAACTAGGATTTGCGAGTCGGGCTAACGCGGCAGGTATCACTGGGTGTCTGACTCTATTGCAGACTTGGATATACGAGTACTTTCCTGCATTGCGACCACATCGTGACCCAGTTCCTATTGATGAGGGGATGCCGCGTGCTTGTGCCTGGAGTCCGCGCTCGGAGAAGAAGTCCGTTGACCGCCTCCGATCGATACGGTTATTGCTGGACAGGCTGTCCCCCTTAGAGGTAACGTTTATTTATAGAGTCTACATTTTATTATTTGCACATATTATATTCATGTTATTATATTTTATATGTTGTAATTGTACAGGTGAACTGGATGCCTTTCGGCCCGAACCCTAGTGTTAGGGTACCCAGGACCCTGTACACGGGACTCATTCAGTATCGTGACATCGTCGAAGCGTACATGCCCCAGCGTTGTCTTCGCCAACTTGGATTTGTCCAAGTTGTCCCTCCTCCCCCGGCGTGCCCGATGAAGGCGGTCCGACCTGCATCGTCGAGGGAGTACGTCGTGGAATGACCGGATATCATGACCGGGACGTGGGACCAGTTTCCGATGGTGGCTCGATTATGGACAGCGGAGTTGCAGCGGCCGCCCTCTGGGGTTACTCCCATGTGTGACCATTACTACATGGAATGGTTCAACCGGTATTCGCACCCGAGGTTGATCGCTGATCTCGACCACAGCGATGATGATTATGTGCCACCGCCTACTGCCACGGAAGCGGTATGTCTTTTATTATATTTATCGTTGTCTTTTATTTAAGTTTTATTTGTTGTTATTGTATTTCATCTTCTGTTTTTTGTTGTATGCAGTGGATGGGAAAGATAATGCAAGACGTTCAGAAACTCTCTCTTGAGAAGGACAACATGAGTGCAACAGGGAGAGCTGTTGTTGATAGTCTGGAACAGACCCTTGCGCAGTGGGAGTCGTCGTTGAGGAGGGATTACTGATGGTTATTGTATTTTATTTATAGAACATTATGTTGGACATTATGTTGTAAAATTGTAACATTTTAGATTGTTCTTTTAGCTTCCAACTTAAACATATTATCAGTGCTGTTTTTAAATTTTGATATAACCGTTCGTGGATCCGCGCAACTTACCCATGCAACATATAGAATGCAGTAAGCAATACAATATAAAATATTAATGTTCTCATTAAAAGAGCAACGTACAAATAAGATTACAAATAAAGAATGTAAACAAGAAAAACTAAAATGCAGCTAGGGTGTTCCATTCGTGGATCCGGTCATTATATAGCGCATCCCAACCCTCTACGCTCGCTGTGCGAATGTTGTACCACCGAGGTATAATCGGTGGCACCGGAAAATCGGTTGACATGTCTAGTCGGATGAAATGTCTGTATGACGACCCAAGAAACGCAATAGCTAGCTCTCTAATCGGTGTGGTGACAGTCTCACGCGACCGCCAAGGGAGAACCGTGGTACAAGGATAATAAGCTTGACTATGCACTCCCAGGCCGAAATGCATGACTGCGCATTTGTAAATGTTTGCAACGGCAAACAGATCTAGGGGCGCGTCAAAATAATGATTTTCGCCGCAAGGTCCACCTCCCCACCGGATACGTCGGAGAGCGCCATCCAAGTCATCCTCGTACACATGACGATAAACATTTCGGTTAGAGGCAATTTCGCTGTACATCAACTCACGCACCAAACCGTAGTTGTCTTCGCCCATTTGAAAAACATCAGCCACGACCCGGAATCCGCAGTTACCATCTCCGATTACATCATTCCACCCTTCCACGTACGACATGATGATCGCAGGTATCCTTTCTTTGTACGGAAACTGATCAACATCGTTTCTTCCTATTCACCAAATAATTAATTCTTCCTGAAAAGGTTGTAGGCTTTCACTTTCACGCAGTTGTTGATGTGCCATGTGCACAATAAGTGGTTCGATTCGGGAAACAGCTCTGCTATGGGGGCAAAGAGACCTCCCTCACAGTCGCTGACGATGGCTGATGGATGAACATTAGGCCCGATGTAGTTTCTCAGCTTCTCCAAAACCCAATAATAACTTGGAGCCGTCTCATCCCTGATGATTGCATGACCAATCAGAAAGTTCTGGTTCGTTGGAGCCATCCCAACCATCTCAACCAGAGGGAACTTGTACTTGTTTGTCTTGTACGTTGAGTCGATCAAAATCACAAATGGCCAAGACTTGATCATATCAGCACAATCAGGATGCACAAGGAAAAGATGAGTCACCTCCGCTGTATCTTCATCAGAATCAAACCAGAACAGGTAACCACGTGATTGTGCCTGGTGTAGCAGCTGCTGTATAGGGTTCCTTCCCTCTGACCGTTCAAACCTGAGTTGTTGTCTGACGTTGTAGATGTGTCTTCGGTTTGGATGGTCTTCTGGAAATTTCTCTAACACAGATGCTAATATTTTAGCAGGCTTCACTTGAGCATCACTCATTTCTTTCACAACTAGTTTCGCAGCAGGACTTAAGCCGCTCAGTTGTCGATGACCCTCTTCATATACTATCATCTCATTGTTGTGATACCCCCATTTAGAGTAACCTATCACTTCCCAACCGTCACGACTCCGTAGTTGTCGAACCTTTACTCTGAACTCACACCCACAACCTTTCCGCTTTGTGTCAAACCGAGTGGCTGTACGAAAATCTCTTTCTTCTCTTTTGCGATAACGGTCACATCTCAAAATGCGATCCATTCTACCATCCCGTTGAGATTTATGAGTTGCTACTACCAAGCAAAATCCAGCTGCAATTGCAACCTGTTTTGCCCTATCAATCGCCTGTTGAGCTTCTTCGAATGGACCATCATGTCCAAATATCTCACTGTAATCATTTCCGTCTCCACCATATTCCTGCATCAATTATATATTACAATAAATACATTTAACGGATAATACATTTAATTTCTATATTTCCACATAATTAACACAAAAAAAAACATAATTATATATAATCAAACTTAATTTTTTTAAAAACCCAATTCGAATTTTCAAACTAAATTTAAAAATATACCAATTCGAATTTTCAAATTTAATTTTACAAAAACCTATTTCGAATTTTCAAATTTAATTTACAAAAAACCCATTTCGAATTTTTTTAAAAAATCATTTTCGATTTTTTATTTTCACAAAAAAATTAAATAAAAAACAACAACAAAATCAAAAAGGAAAAAATATAAATTAATTATTAAAGGTGGCGTCTGCCAGGGCTGCCACACCCACTGGACTGGCGCCTGGCAGGGCCGCCTCACCCAGTGGAGTGGCGCCTGGCCAGGACGCCGGTCTGGTGGTCTGGGCGTCTGGGCTGGACGCCACTCTGGTGGTCTGGGCGTCTAGCCTGGACGCCACTCTGGTGGTTTTGGCGTCCGACTTGGACGTCCAGGCTACGGTTTGGGCGTCCACCCTAGGCGCCGTAGCCACTACGACGGTAAACCGTGAATTTTAGCGGTCACTTACCTCGTTTTCGTCGACGACGACGTACCTCCGGCGTCCCCCGCATCTCCGGCCTGCCATCCGGTCTCCCCCGACGAGCCAATACGGCTCCACATTTTTTACACCGAGATTATCTCAATTTTAGCAAAAGGGCATAATGGTCAAATCATAACATATTTGTGGGCTTTATGTGGTAATTTGTGGGCGATGTTTAGCGTTTCACTTTTTTAAACCCTAACGACCTCTTCAGTCTTCATATTTCTCCCTCTTCTCTATTTCTCAGCCAAATCATCGTAATTGGGGGAATTTCTCAACGGTGAAAGTAATATTCTGCCGGTAATTTCCGTTTTTCTCTCTCTTAATTTGTGTTTCTACGTGTAAACTGTAATTATATGTTAGCTTTGCAATTTGAATGATTTTTTCATGTTTTGTTGACAAATTTACTAGTTTAAGATCTATTATTCTGTAAAAAAAGTGTTTAATTCACACGTTTTGTTTGAATTATTATTAAAAGCATTACATTCCTACATGCTGAATGATTTTTTAATGTTAATTTTTGTTGATTACACATGTTTATGTTTAATTTATCTAGTAACGAGTTGAATCTGCATATATTTGTTCAAGTTCTTGTAATTTATAGTTAATTAATTATTTGCCAATGAATTGAAAGGAAATCGGCATGGCAACAAGAAAACGGCGTTACGACCCAAATGTACCGATTGAAATTAGCTCGGAAGTGGAAGAAGAAAATGGGGATAGTTCAGTAATCAAGAAAGATGGAACCAAGAAAGTACAGGTGAAGGTGGTGAAAAGGACGGATTCGAACATCGAAGAAGAAGAAGGGGTTTCCTTGAATATTGAAATTGACATTCCACTTCGATGGGTGATGATTTGTTACTGTCAGAGATTGGGTTTGGATTTTCAAACCACCCGATTCGAGTTCAATGCTGCTAAATTAAGGGATTTGGATACTCCCCATCAACTTGGCATGGTTCAAAATGATGTCATTTTTGCCTTCCCAAATCATGGTTTGCTCCTCTCTTGAAAACAGATTTTTTTGACTTGGTGTTATTTAGTTTTTGGGTTTTTAATTTATTATAATATGCAAGTTTTAATCTTTTATTAATTGTTTCATACATGAAGAGTAATTTGATTTGATTGTTTGGTTTACTACTCGGGTTTGAGTGTTTGTGAATATTTGAAATGGGAAAATTTAGGGCTAGAGTAGTTTGCTTCAAAGAAGATTTTTGGTAGGTCATTAGAATCATTAAATTAATGCCCCTTTTCCAGAATTATTTGTAATGAAGAGGGCATGTTAAATAGGGGCAGGTGATTGTTTAACCAATTGTGCGTTTGATTTAATAATTTGGTGGGAAGGAAGAATGAGTGATCTATTTTCCTTTTGTGGATGTGGAATGGGGGTCTAGATTCGAGAAAAAGAAAGGAGAGTAATGTACACAACTTTCCTCTTTTGGGATATTGGGTGGGATTGACATTTAAGAAAAGGAGAGGGGGGGGGGGGGGGTGGGGAGTGAGATACCTATCTTTATGTATTTGCATGTGTATAGAGGTTGAATGTTGATTCCTCATTTATGGATTACTGATGAAATGATTTGTTAGTAATCATGAATTTTGATTTCTAGTGAACCCATTTTGAAGATTTAATGTATGCACAAATATTTGTTTTTCTTGCCCCTCTCGTCCTTCAAGTTTTCCTGCTGCTGCTGTTTCCTGATCAATTCATTACTTGTCACTATTGCTCCATATTTACTTTTTTTTTTCATTATTGAGAGTGCTAGTAGCTATTGTAGCATTCCAGGCTTCCCGCCTTCTTTTCTTCTATGTTAAAATGCTAGCAAAAGAGCAAGATTTGTCTGAGACCTGATTTTAGAAATCTCTTTCTTGAGGCCAAGAATTCCAAACTTGGGGATACAAGGCTCCTTAACAGACAAAGCTAAATCCTTTTGTCAAGCTATTTTTTAAATATTCTGCTGTTTCCCCAGCTGAATTCGGTGGATGTAGATTTTAGACACCAACTATTTTTTTACCATCTTTGGGAATGTTAGGTCCATTTAACTTTTTTTACCAGCTGTTCCTGTCTTGACTGCAGAGTAAGTACAAACATGAGGGAAATCAAAATTTAGCCTGATTATATATTTTCTATCTACACCATCAGTTTTCATTATGTCAGAATTAATGGTGATTTTTTTTATCTTGATCTGCTTTTATTAAGCATTAGTAGTTAGATAGGCTTATTCAGTCTTCTTTTTCCCTGTTTTCAATAATTATATCCCTGGATGCCCTTGACAGTCATTCAGGGAAGAAAAGTACTCACTACTCAGAACATATCACCAATTAGACTTTTGTTTATACTTGGTTAGTTCTAATTTAGTGCTGAAATTTGCACTATATTCACAAATTTAGGGATTGTAAACTTTTCTTTCGTGTCATTGTTCGAAACAATAGATTAAAAAAACAATTTTTCCATTGTCATGTACAAACATGTTTTAAGTTAATGTGCACTAAGTAAGAAGTTAGTAATTATTGTATGGCATATAGAACTGATGCTAATATTCATCAGTATTTACAATCAACAAATAATAAGTCATGGGAATTTTAAATTACATATAGTAACTATTTTGAGCTCCTGTTGAATTGTCATTTTATGTTTCTTCATCTCTACAGCTCTTTCATTCTTATCTCCTTGTTTTTCTCTCATTTGCCTTCTTTCTATCACTGTTTTAAGGTGGTTTGGGGTATGGAGCTGTGCATTATGTAACTCTATGTATCCGCATGCATAAGGGGAGAGACATGTTTCATAGAGTGAAACGCTCTACCGCTCTACTGCCTCAGCTTATGCGATGTTTTTCTAACAGTGATCCTCGAGAACTTCGCTCTCTATGCCTTGTTTATGGTGGATTAAAGTTGACTCAGAATCATACAGCTAGCGAACTAAAAATGGAAGATGGTGACATAATTGATGGCTTTTATTTCAGCTTGATGAGTAAGTTCAACTCTGGTTTCTTTCAATCTAGTTTTATTATACACTCAGATTAGGGTCCTTATTATACCCCATAATATGTTCCTGTTTACTACCTTTGGAAGAAAATCCTCTACATCCTAGATTTGTGATTTGTTAAGAGCTTTCAGTTCAGAGCTTGAAAAGAAAAAAATTCTGATGCTAGACAAAAAGTTTTAGCGTTTTACAGTAAATTTGAAGTTCATAGTATTACAGAGTAATGTCAATTTTATTTGATTGTGCAACTAAGATATGAAGTGTGAACTACTAAAGAGCAAAAAGGTTCTAATTTCAGGTTTTCAAGTCTAGAAATTTTGGTATTCTTTTTAACATGAATCTCCCCTTCCTGTTTAGATTCTTCCTTGAGCATAGTTGGGCAACGCATTACTCTTAAAGTGATATGTCATGTGGGCAATGAAACGGTGTTCAGAGTCACTCCAAGGACTCTTTTGGGTCAGATGATGGATAAATTAATGCCGCCGGAGGCAGAGACAGGGTGTAAAAACGTTAGATTTATATTTGATGGTCGTTACCTCTCACCTACAAAAACAGTAGCGGAGGAATATCTCGTGGATGGTGATACTATTACTAGCATGCTTTGTATGAGGGGATGCTAAATCTTTTTATTAGGTTCTATGATTCTGCTTTGTAAACTCCCTTTTATTTCCCTCCTTGGTTAGATTTGTAGCAGTCGCAATATAATGCTGTCATATCTCTGGTGCTATTTTATTTCCATTAGCTGTTAAATAGGCTAGCTAGAATTGGCGTGTATATCATCAACTTATTGTGAGATTTAATGGGGTTCATTGAGCCAAAGGCGTGCTATAATGATTTAAAGAAAAGTTGTGTTGGTAGGCTCATGTTGGAGTTTTTTATTTTGGCTGTTAGGCCTATGCAGGGCATGATCAATGATTTTGTGTATTGGCCTTTTAAGAATTTTAGCTTTTTTTTAATGATTGGTTTATTTATTTTTTGCTAACCTATTGTGCTTGTTATAAATTCAATAAAGATGTTGAAGCATAGTCCACCGACATGCCTCTCATATGTCTTAAGCCAATTCCAGTTGGGCGAAGCCTTTGTAGGCCAAATCTCGAACCTATTTTACATGTGCACTTTTAACATACTTTATATTTTACACTTTTTCTTAAGTTTCGTGTCCAATCTAAATGGTGCAATTAAAAAAATGGAGGTTGTATTCATCTTTTAATAAAAATAATTTTTTTATTTATTAAATACCTATAACTCTATAAGTAATTGTGGATGGTATGGGCCAGAAAGTTGGTTTATTTTGAATACTTGTAGAATGGATCCAATGTGGAATACTTTAGGTGTGTTGGTTCAATTCTCATTAATCCTACTTTTAGAGGCCTAAATAGCTGGATAGGTTAGGTTAGGGTCAGTCATAAATAGGTTGTCGAAAAAAAAAAGGGTTGGAATCAATTAGGTCAAGGCGGGTCATAAGTCAATATCATGTAGATCCGATATGTAAAGTTAAAGAGGGTTTTGGGTGATAGATTTCACTTTTCCAAAATACCCCTCTCATATTTTTTCTTATTTTATAAAATAAAATAAACTACCATCCTTTAAAAAAAAAACTACCATATTGCACACGCACGCATTCTATTAACTTGTTAAATTAAAGCACGATAATAATATATACAGTACTATCAATTTTATTTATTTTTTTAATAAATTATTGGGCTTCGGCCTTGTACTAAAGCCTTCCAATTTAAACTACGTACTTTCCTTTATCCATTAGGTTACCTATTCCATTAACCTGGTCCTTAATTTAAAAACTTCTTTGTTTATGAATCCTGAGGTCGGTTATTTATTTTTCTTTTCGTTTTCAAGGTTAGTAGATTTTCCTTATTATTTGACGAAAAGTTGATTTTCTTTGACAAAGTAAATCTTGATTATTAATCCCATAAAAATCCTCCAATTAATTTATGCTTAGCAGATCTTGATTTCTGACAAAGTATACCATTAAATTGTGAACAGAAGTACAAAGAATGAAGAAGACGGAGTATCCAATCGCAAAAGCAAACGAAGAAAACAAAAAGATTGTCGTAACAGTAAAGTGGATTAACAACAACATCGACGACATAAAAGATGATGATAATGATGAATTAGATGATAAGAAGGAGATTATTAACTTCAGAATTGAGAATGATGTTCCTCTAAGATGGCTAATGATACTTTATTGCGACAAAATTGGGTTGAATTTCGACACCACTCGTTTCGAGTTTAATGGCGCTCGCTTAAGAGGATTTGATACTCCTCTTCATGTTCGCATGCTTTCCTTTGATGTCATTTACGCTTATTCTTCTCCATGTAAGTTTTTCTTTTTAATTTTTTTTTTTATTTTATTTTAAAACTAGGTTTAGGTTTTCTATATGCTTACCTTGCTTTACTAGATGTGAAGTAGAAACTTATGGTTTTGTTTGTTTCACATTAACATGAAAGCTTATCGATCATAGGATTGATCTCCTAAAACCGAGAGAGCTATCCCTCACCCTCACTTTACGAAATTCTTAGTAAATACAAATTCCTGGTAAAGCAAAATTGACAGTGTGTAACATATTATAAGTGAATGCATTAAAAAAAAAAAAAAAAAAAAAATTACACTGCTTTGGTATACTTTCTACGTATTTGGACAAAGTGCTATAGTTTTGTGGTTAATGTTAGTATTATGGTTAAATCAACTTCATAATAAAGTTGACCTTAGCTTGTTACATGTATTATATATTATTGTTTCGTAATCAATTGTTACATTAATTACAAAGTGCTCACTCAATAGCTAGTATTGAAATTATTGGATATGATATTCAGGTTCAAATGGCTTAGTCCACTCAAATTGTCGGGTTCACAACAATGGTGATGGGCGTAGTAGTGGTCTATACCAGGTAACTATATGCATTCGAATGCACAAACAGAAAGATACATTTGTTAGGGTGATACGTGCTACACCATTATTACCTCAGCTCACGCTTGGCCTCTCAAATGCTGGAATTGTTGTTGAAGGCGGCCCTATGTGCTTTGTTCGTGAGGGCACGAGGTTGACACGGGAGCATACAGCAAAAGAACTAGACATTGTGAATGGTGATGTTGTTGACGCCTTTATATTTGACAAGCACAGTAAGTCTAAAACTTGTTAATCAAATCAGTTAATACAATCAGCTAATTTTCAAATTATACAAGACCTTTAATTAACTACCTCTTGTTCTTGATTCAGGCTGTTCGCTGAGCATAATAGAAGCATCAAAACATTCACAAGAATCAGAACAACTATACTTGGAAGTGTCAGTGGCCTCTAAATACCACGAACCAATTTATTTCAGATTAAAACGAAATACTCGTTTAAAAAAGTTGATGGACGTATACTGTCATCGTTTTAAAATGCTTAAAGGAGCTCTTTTCTTTTATCATGGCCGCGCACTTGACGGCTCAAAGTCACCGGACGAAGAAAAATTGGTGGATAAGGCTATAATCTATGCCTTTCCAATTAATGTTAACGTGAAATAGGTCACTTTACCTAGCTGTTTCTGCTCATGTATTGCTCAATTCAACTAGTTTGTGAGCATATTATGATATTGATGTAAAGTATGTACTATGTAGTACTCGTTCTAGACTAGTACTCAGCTCCTTCTATCTCTATTTTTTTTTTAGTAATACTACTCGCTAAAGAGTAAACACTAGTTGTTATCTTTAATACAATTAATAGTTCCTTCTTACTGATATAGCTCTTTAGGTTCTGAAAATAATACTCGTATATTGGTACGTTGTGAATGATTTTCATAAGTTTTATATCTTTTGTACGTAATGTTACTTACTTTCTAGCTGCTTTTTTCTGAGGTTTTGTTTTGAGTTTCATTTATTAGGGTGTTCTTGCTTTTGCTTGATGAAACTATCAACAAAGTAGTGACGTGGTTCCTAAGTTTTTGTAACCACTGAGATAGAAAGCTTTTCTTGGGTTTTTCTATACGATAACCCTCTTGATTTTATTTTTCTACGTTGTGTCCCTTCATATAGTACTTTCTATACTGTAACTTGTCGGTACATTTAGGTTCCATACAGTAACCTTGTCGTTATCCCATCATTAACAAATTTCGTTAGTAGAGCCCACTCTTCACTTACTAATATTTTTTTATCGATTTGGTGTTGGAAAATGTTTCGGTAAAGGTTTTGGGAGCTATTTTGGCCCTTAAGGATCCAAATTGAATACCCCCAACCAAACGACCCCTAAAATAATAACATTATCTACCCCACTAACATCTTATTTTATTAAACCACCTAAACTCCGCACAATCTCATTTCTAGCCTATAAAAAAAACGGAGGGAGTACCATTTTATCAATATTTTGGCTATATACCTAAGATCAAACATAATCATATTGATACTTGTTAAATTCGTGTCATTTCAAAATATAGTTTTCAAATATTGACTTTTACTCGTGTAATGTATATACTATGTATATTAATTTATTGATAATCAAATATATATATTAGTCCGCGATGTAATCATCAAAGTTCACATTATATGTGCCTATCAACCCGTAAAAAAAAGGAAAAATTGTAAAAAAAACCATCTTTTATAACACCTTTTTATGAAAAAACACCTTATAAAAATTTTCTTGTGAAAACATACCAAAAACCACTTTTTTTTTTTTTTTTTTTTTTTTTGTTTGCGAAGAAACACTTGACTATGGTTTCTGGTATTTGACTTGGTTTTCTGGCATTGACCTGCACGTAAGACGCACATGTTCCGGCGAATCTCCCCTTTCTTAATTTTTTCCTTCCTTTTTTCCCTCCAATTCAACTTTCTCTCTCCTTTTTTCTTCCAACCAAGCCTCAATTACTCTCCAATAGAAGAAGGAAACTCTAATTTTAAGCTTGAATTGCTGAAATTAACCTAATTTCAAGTAAGGTATGTTGTTGTAATTACTGAAATTTCTTGTTAATTATGTTGGGTTTTCGAATTTTCATAATTAGGATTTGTAATTGAAAATTAGGGTTACTATTTTTGCCCACCAATGTGTTTATGATGGATTTAGGAGTAATTTTGAGGGGCCAATGTGTTTAGGATGCCCACCAATGTGGTCTTTGATTTTTTTTTCTTGCTATATTGGGCTTCTACGGAGGATGGGGGTGAGGAGGTGGGGTGGGGTTTTTGGGTCGATGGGGGTGAATTAACGGGAGTGGAATTTTCATGGGAGTAGATTTATTGGGTGAGATGGTATTGGTGAGGGTGAAAGTGAATTGGTGGTGTTGGTGGGGGTGGCAGGAGGTGGTGGCGGTGATGAGGTGGTGTTGGTGAGGGAAAAGAGAAAAAAATAAAGGAATGTGCTTTTTTGAGATCACATGACCCACACGTGCAAAGTCAACACCGGAAAACCAAGTTAAACATTGAAAATCGGGTTAAGGTGTTACATCGTAAAAAAAAAAAAAAAAGTGGTTTTAGGTGTGCCTTCACAAGAAAATTTGTATAAGATGTTTTTTTTTTTTTAAAAAAAAAAAAGGTAGTGTTATAAAAGATGTTTTTTTTTTTTACAATTTTTCCAATGAAAAAATGTGCCTATCAAAATTCGGAATTAAGAAAATTGGGAGTACCAAACAATTCACTTTATTTTTTTTTGAAACCAGCATTTTTTTTTTCTCTTCAAAAAATCACGAAAACCTTAATTACCTCTTCACATTCTCCCTTTCCTTAACCCCCCCAAGTTTTCCCCTCCATCTCTTCCTCAGTCAAATTAGAATTATTTGGGGACTTCTTAACTGCGAAAGTAATATTCTGCTGGTAAAATCCTTCTCTTCTACTCTTGAATTGTTGATCTCTACATGTTTGATTTGTAATTATGTGTTAATTTGCACGTTGAATGATTTTTTCATGCTTTTTTGTTGTTGACAAATTTACCTGTTTAAGTTCAATTAAGCTCTAATTGAGTTAATTTCACACTTTTTTGTTTGAATAATCTAAATTAACAATGTATATTTACATGCTAAATGATTTTGTATGATTTATTGTTGTGCAAATGAACCACTAACCCTTGTACTCCTTATGTTATTTTAATAATCTATTTAAGAGTTGGATCATGTGTTAGTTTAATTACTTCTCGATTAATGTGATTGTGAGTTGGATATATATATATATATATATATATATATGTTCAAGCTCTTATAATATAAGTACGAAACTATGAATTATATATATGCATATATTATGTAATTAATCGTTTAAGACCTGCCGAATAATTTATTAGGAAATTGGTATGGCAACAATGAAACGGAGATACAACCCAGATGTACCGATTGACATTACTTCGGATGAAGTTAATGGGGAAGTTTCAGCAGAAGCCAAAGATGAAAATAAGAATGTAAAAGTGAAGGTGGTTAAATGGTCTTATTCGGAAAGTGAAAGAGAAGAAGGGGTTTTCTTTAAGATTGAGATTGGCATTCCATTTCGATGGTTGATGATTGAGTATTGTCAGAAATTGGGTTTGGATTATCAAACGACCCGATTCGAGTTGAATGGTGCAAAGTTAAGGGAAACGGATACTCCCCATCAACTTCGAATGCTTCATGATGATGTCATTTTTGCCCTCCCTAATCGTGGTTTGCTCCTCTCTCTCTCTCTCTTTTGTGTGTGTGTGCGCGTGCGCGTGTGTGTTACTATATCTTTTTTGTGTGTGTGCGCGCGTGCGCGTGTGTGTGTTATTATATGAAAGTTTTACCCTTTATCGATTGTTTCATATCTGACAGATTATATTGCTTTGGTTGCGTGGTTTACTTCTCGTGGTTGGACTGTTGTTTGTGAATATGGAGTATTTGAAAGGGAAAATCTAGGGGTTGAGTAGTTGATCACTGCAATTATAGTCATTAAATTAATACCCTTTTTGAAATATTATCTGTAAGGATGAGGGGAGATTAAAGATGGGGAAAGTGATCATATTGCCAACAATGTTTTTGGATACAATAATTTGGTGAGAAGGGATGGAAGAGTGAGTGACCGATTTCCCTTTTTTGGATACTATATGAGGTTTAAGATTCAAGAAGGGTGGGGGAAGGGGTGTGAGGTACCTAGTTTTCTGTATTTGAATTTTGGTTAGGGGTCGAGAAGGAAGGGGAGAGCGAGGTACCTACTTTCCTTTGTATAAATATTGATTGTGGATTGAGGGAATTGAAGAACATTTTACCTTTTCCTTTCAATTAAGTAAATCCTACAACTTGGGATTAGGAGGGAAAATGAAAACATGCGACATTATTTATCATTTGTGCTGCTATCCTGTGCCTAATTATGCTGTTGAAAGACAGAAAAGTTAAGTTTCTACTGAAATGTATAGAGGATGAATTTTGATTTATCATTTATGACTTACTGATGAAATAAGTATCCTGCTGCTGTTTTAAACTAAGCAATTCATTACTTGTCACTATTCTTCCTAATTTACTTTTTATTATTGAGAGTGCTAGTAGCTATTGTAGTGCTTCAGCCTTATTTTATGCTTTGTATAAACACCAGTAAAAGAGCAAGATTCATCTGTGACATGGTTTCAAAAAGCTTTTTCTTTAGGCCAAGAAATCCAAATTTGGGAAATACGGCTCCTTAGCAGCCAGAGAAAATTCTGTTGTCAAGCTAATTATTTGATTATTCTCCTGTTTCCCCAACTGAACACGGCAGATGAAAAAATTAGACACTAACCTTCTTCTACCTTAGGGAAGTTAAAGTTCATTTTAACTTAGTACCTCACACAAAGTGTTCCAGCTGTTTCCGTTTAGATAGCAGAGTAAGTACTAACATGAGGGATAAGCAAATCTAGCATGATCATATATGTTTTTATTCAAACCATCAATTTTAACTAAGTCATATTTAATGGCGAATTTGTTGATCCCAAAATGCTTTTATCAAGCATTACTTGTACAATAATTTTCGTCATTAACATAGTGGTTAGATAGACCAATTCCATATTCTATTTCCCTTTTATTAATTATCCTACACCCAGCTGCCCTGGGCAGTCATTTAGGGAAGAGCAGAACATATCACTTAATATCTATTTTCTGTATTTAGTTCTTAATTTAGTGCTGATAACTTGATGCTGGTGGATTTGCACTATATTTACAAATTTGGTGATACTTGTCTTTTGTGTTGTTGTTTGAATCTGCAGAGGAAAAAAAAACTAGCTTGCCATTTCTATATACTGTAATACATGTTTGAAGTTTATGCACCAGGTAAGAAGTTAGAATTAAAGTATGGTATAAAAATCTGATGGTAATATTACATTGGCATGTATGATTAACAAAAGACGTGGGTATTTTACATGACATATTATAACTATGTTCTCCTGTTGAATTGTCGTTGATGTATCTTCAATCTCCACAGCTCTTTCATATCTTATCTTTTGATTTATTCACATTTTCCTTCTTTTGATCACTGCTTTTAAGGTAGTTCGGGGTTTGAAGCTGTGCCTTATGTAACTCTAATCATTCTCATGCACAAAGAGAAAGACACGATTCTTAGATTGAAACGCTCTACGGCTATACTGCCTCAGCTTATGCAGTGTTTTCCTAACAGTGGATCTCAAGAACAAGGCTCTCTATGCTTTGTTTACCGTGAATTAAAGTTGACTCCGAATCATACAGCTAACGAACTAAAGATGGAAGATGGTGACATCATTGATTGCTTTAATTTCAAAACAATGAGTAAGTTCAACTCTGGTTTAACTCAATCTAGTTCAAAATTATTATTTAGCTTTGATGGTCGTTCTCTCTCACCTACAAAAACAGTAGCGGAGGAAGATCTAGTGGATGGTGGTACTATTAGTAGCACGATTTGTTTTTTCGGATGCCTAATCTTTTTGTTAGGTTCTATGATTCTCTTTGTAAACTCCCTTTTATTTCCCTCCTTGGTTAGATTTGTTGCAGTCGCAGTATAATGTTGTCATATCTCTGGTGCTATTTTATTAGAACCCGACTTTGTCTTAGAGGGTGTTGAAGTTTTCTTGATCAAGAACTACGTAATCTGATTGCGCGTTGTAAATATCCTTTTTTTTATTTATCCCCTCTTTGACAAGATATCTGGTTGTTTAGCTGGTTTAAAGGTTTGCTAGATTTGCTATTATCTCGTTTGGTTGTGTATATTTTATAATCTGCTAAATTATTTTGTTGGAAGTGGACATTTTGAACTCAAACGTCTTAAGTGTGAGACATGGGGAAGAGGTCTAAAGAGTCAACTTAGAGCTAGGCTTGGACAAGGTCATGTTGGTCTCATGCTCTATTGGGTTGTGCCTAAAATAGGCCAAAGAAAAGTTGTGCCTTGTTAGCCCAAGATTTATGTGACTATAAATTTGTACTCTTTTGTGTTTTTCAAGTGTAATACATTAATCGGTACATAAGTTATTTGCATTATCTCATCCTCTCATCAACTTTAGTGATTAGCTAGGAATGAGATAGACTGTAATCGGCTGAGTTTTATTTAAGCTCTCTCTTCTCACAATACTCACTCAAACAGTCAAACCCATAGGTTATTTTTTATTTTATTTTATTTTATTTTATTTTTTTGATTAAATAAGAGTAAATAATACCCTTGAGTCATTGAGTGTATCTTTCCAATGATAATGACAATAAATTGGCGTGATTGAACTTTATCTCAGTAATTTTGTTTTTAGTAATGTTGATTCATTACATAGCCCACGACCTTGCCTCTTATGATGCGTTAGTTATGGTCAAACATGGCTGAATTGAACTAGCTTGCGAGTTAGTTGAATTTAGCTCTATTTGATGTTTATTTGCATAAATTATAAAAGAGGAGATGTCTGTCACTTGTATCATTGTATGTATAAGCATGGACACATTACAGAGGTCTTCCAAAGGGAGGTTAGTGAGGTATGAGTAAATGCATAACGAGGGGCATGAGAGTCATTTCACGTAAATGCATATTCTGACTTTGGAGTAGTTTCATTGGATGATCAATAGTATCATTGGATGATCAAATAGTATCATTGAACATTTAGTGGTACTATGTATGTATGTAATGGTAATATATGTTTATTCAGTGGTAGTAACTACGTGTAGAAATAGTATCACTATATAGTCAATGGTATTATATAAGCTTTCACTAGTACATTTAAAAGTAGTGTCACTTATCCATCTCTCTCCTCCTTTCTCTCACCCCCATGTGCTTTTCAATATTTTAGTATTTGTTATACATTTGCAAATGCATAACAAACCAACATTAATATTGCCTCCACATTAGACACTAACCTAGGAAGCATGAGCTAAAAATATGTCTCGTATGTTAAAAGTTTTATCTTTACGAAAAATTGTAAATAATAATCCCAACTTTCCTGTATTTTATTTCAATAATCTCAACTTTGGATTATTATAAAATAATCCGAACTTTGGGAGTTGTTGATTTTCTTCAATCCCAAATACCGATTACCAGTTCAATGGTTTTTTTTTTGTTTTTTTTAAGTGATACGTGTCACAACTTAATTGGTTAAAAAAATATATAAAAAAAAAACCACCTAGCTAAAACCCCAACCACCCTTAGAAATCCGGCAACCTGCCAGCCCAACCACCTCCCTCGTCGGACCGTCGTCCCTCACCCACCACTAGAGTCGCCGCTCCTGCCGCTTCCCTCTAAACCACCATCCCCCCTCCCCGAAACCTCCACGCAACCACCAATAAAACCCCTCCCCCACTTCGAAAACTTCCAACCGCCACTCCCCTTACCCTGAAACCTTAGCGGCTAGGGTTTTTGATGGTGAGGAAGGGGCTGTTGGAGGTTTTCGGGAGTGGAGAAGGGGTTTTATTGGTGTTTCGAATGGTTGGGCGGAAAACCGGATCGAAAAAGAAGGGGTTTGGGGGTGGAGGTGGGTCGCAACACCAGCATGGGGGGATTGGGGAAAAGCGGCGCAACATTAGGCATGGGGAAGGGAAGGGTAAGCGCCGCCGGCCAGTGGCAGGTGGTGGTGGGGGAAGGGCGGTTTGGGGTTTTTGGGATTTAGGGTGGGGTTTGCTTTGTGGTTGTTTGAGGGAATGGTAGGGGATTTCGAGTATGGGGGAAATTGGCGACACCAACAGTTGGAAAGGGGTGGCTGGCCGGTAAGGAATAGGCGGCGATCTGGGAAGCAGGCTGGTGGTGTTAAGGTGGGCCGGTGGGGAAAGGGAGGCTGGCTGGTGTTTTGTGATTTTTGTTTTGTTTTTTTTATTTTGTAAACTTTTTGGACCAATCAGGACTTAACACATGTCAAGTGACCTGATATAATAGGTCATTGACTTTTGTTGACCGGTTGGGGATTGAAGAAAATCAACAGCCCCTAAAGTTCGGTTTATTCTAAAATAATTCAATGTTTTTAGTTATACGAATTACAAGTACTTATTTGACAATTCGTATACCTAATCATCAAGCAATATTGATTTTCTATCGAGATGCCATTTGAAATGTTTCAATTACATTATTAATTACGAAGTACTCGTATATTTAATCATTGTATACTTTTTTTTTTTTACAAATCATTGTACTTTGTATACCAAAAAATAAAAAAATTAAGGCCCTGTTCCTTTCACCTTAAAATAATAATATTCAATAAAAATAATTTCACTTCAATAAAAATAAGTTCAGCAAAAATAATTTCAATTCACTAAAAATCAGTAATTTTAAAGAAGAAATATAATCTAAAATCAGTAAAAATAATTTCAGTTCGACAAAATTAATTTCATTTTAATAAAAATAATTTTAATTCAGCAAATTAACATCATTATCATCTATTGATTCTATTCATCTCTACGAGTCTACCTAAATTGAGAGAAATTCCTCAGCAAACGCGACATTTACGAGAAGGAAAAAAGAGGGAAACTATGAAATACCCACCGAAGGTGAAGGGGAAGAAATATGAGGAGGTGGGTGATTTGGATTCGATTTCGCAACATGCAAAATGCCATCTTTGCCTATCTTATTCAAGGTTTGTTTCTTAGTTTTCACTTTATCTATTTAATTATGGTTCATTTGTTCTTTTTTTTCTTTAATTCTGCCCATCATATATATAATTGGAATATCCCATGAAAAATTTAATACTTTCTTTCAGTATATTATCATATTATCAAACCTTTGTTTAAATCTTCAACAAAGTTTAAATCTTTTTTAATTGCAAGTCATCTTTTTTAATTGCAAGTCTGAACAGTGACGATGAGCATTTTTATCAATTGTTCTGTTGATTCTGTGCAAAAGGTATAGAGATAATTGACTATGTTTATTGCAAGTAGGTTTACTTCTTTGATTTGAAGGTTTTGTATGAATTGGTGAATAGTAGTTCTAGGGTAATGAAAAAAAAAATGTTGAGTACTTAAGTGACTAATTGTAGCCTTTGTAGGATGTGAGGTGACTTATGATTATCGTTACGCAAAGGGGTGACTTTGATCGTCTTATTGTATACACCCGTCTTATTCTAGAATTTAATTTGGGTGAAATGTTTAGGGAGTTGCAGTTCACTTCAAAGGGGGTTTTCGGTGGAGTGTAATTGACCCTAATTTGGTGACCTTTTCCCAAAATTAATTGCTATAAGGAGCTATTATAGGTTTCCTTGTGCTTGTCGAATGTCATAATGTTGCCGGAATGCATTATGATTCCATTTCCATAACAGGCTCGAGTTTGGTAGATATTTTGCGAAATCTAACAACGAAGTTACTAGAAAACCATGATGATTTAGTCAAGATTGTAGTTGTCTTTCAAAGTTTCACTTGTTGGTGAATTTGCAGAAAGAAGTGTGTGAACTGTGGAGTATAATTTGGCTGAAACCTTTCGGTTTGATCAAAGTAATCTAAGCAGATTGGCTTGTGGTGGTGGGAGATACAGGATGGAGGATAAGTGGGGGGGCGGTTATTATATTAGTAAGAGTCCTGCTTCATTTTTGTGCTGAAAACGGTGCTGTTTCCGATCATGAAAGGAATAAATTATCGGTGCTTTCAGCTATATAGAACACGGGACTATCTAACAAGTCTGATCCAAAGATCTCAAGTAAGCACTAGCATGTTTGAATCCTGTGTCCTTTTTCTCCTCTACCCCTCCCCCTTTGTTTTTCTTAAGCCCGTCTTTAGGAATTGACTAGTTATGCCAATATTCTTCCTTCTGTTCTAAAGCAATCTATACTCATCAATATTCATCCTCATTCCTGTTTCATGCCTGGCAGTGCTTTTAGTTCTTGTACCTTATTCAAGTGCTTCATCCTTCTTTTTGTTTCTACATCAATAGCAGTAGTAAAAGAGCAAGAACATACAATAGCGTGATTTCGTTCCCCACTTTGACTCTTTCTTCCTTCATAGTTCAGTCTAGAAATTTCAAAGCAATGAGATCTTAAGTAAGCACTAGCATGTATAAATCCTGTGTCCAGACCAGACTTACTAGATAGTCCTGTGTTTTTCTTAAGCTCGTCTTTAGGAATAGACTAGTACATGCCTCTATTCTTCCTTCTTTTCTAAGGCAATCCATACTCATCCTTGTTATACTAATTTCCTTTTTATTACTGGCAGTGCTATTAGTTCTTGTAGCTGTATCAAATGCTTCATCCTTTTTTTTCCCCTACGTCAGTAGCAGTAGTAAAAGAGCAAGAACAGACAAAAGTTGGATTACCACTCTTTGTTTTTTCAGTCTAGAAATTTCAAAGCAGCGAGCTACCTTTTTCAAAAGACAGCTCAATTTCACAGCTTCATGCTTTTAAGGCGGGCTTGATTCACATCCTCCTAGGGGTCACGACATAAGGGGAATTAAATTTGATTGAATCATTTTCTTTAATCTACTACATTAGATTTATTTCCATAATCCACTTCAATTTGGTACAATGCAGTATATTTCTTCTGCAGTTCTATGTCATTAAAGTTGGAAAGGCTAGTTCTTTATTTATTATACTATAACGTATCCTCTACTTAGACTCCATCATGTAGGAAAAAGTAGCCAGCCAATCAGAACGACTAACTAAATAGACCTCTATAATGCTTGCTTATACTAATGAAACTGCAGTATGTTTATGAATTTTGTGATTGTTTTATAGTCTCTTGTCGTTTGCTATTAATGGAAC